GTATTTAACAGCCTGGGAGACCTTCCCAGGGCAGTACCTTGCTTCACCGACTAAAATCAGGGCGCCCACTACGGAGATGGCACCAGAGGTGAGGGGGCACAGTGACCCTCAGGGTCTATTTGTCAAAAATAATCATTAAATTATGAGAAAGGTGTTTAAAAAAAATACTTAGCTCATGCATCTACATTAAATCATCCATTTTGTGTATGTCCGAGAAATCGGTGTCAACTGTGTTACTCCCTATAAAACCCCCTATAAATCAGCAATGGTTTGTTCCAAATTCACATGTCCAACATCATGTGATGTATTTTCCTTTTTTGGAGGGAATTTTTAAGAAAGTCATAACTTCTCTTCAATATTTTAGCTAGATTATTGTCTGCACATAGAGTAGATTAACTGAGATTAGTAGATTAACTGTTTTATCAACATGTTCTGGTGAACTTGCGTCACATGTTATATTTATAAATATGTAGAGAAATAATATAACAACAAAAGTTAATCAAGGTCATGTACTAACTAGTCCAAGGTCAGCAGTTTGCACAAGGCCCTAAATGGCTGAAATGTCAACTGTGTTAGCCATCAACTGTAACACAGTAACTCAACATAATAGTATGGGATTGGTTATAATGTGCACCGTTTTTGTCGGGGCTGAACGCAGCCCTGATGTGTTTTCCTTTTTTTGGAGGGAAATTTGAAGACAGTGTGGTAAGTCATAACTTCTCCTCTTCAATATTTTATCTATATTATTGTCTGCACATAGAGTAGATTAATTGACCCGTCAACTGTGTTATCGACATATTCTGGTGAACTTGTCACATGTTATATATATAAATATGTAGAGAAAGAATATAAAAACATAAGTTAATCAAGGTCATGTACTAACCAGTCCAAGGTCCGCAGTTTGCACAAGGCCCTAAAATGGCCAAAATGTCAACCGTGTTACCCATCAACTGTAACACAGTTTACAAGGATTAACAGTTGACAACGTTGGCAATTCAGTGTCAATTTATGATCCCACTGAGTGTTGTTGATAAAACAAATATTCACAAACTATTGTCATTACACAGAAATTACATAGGAATTGCCTAAAACCATGATTTGCATTACAATGGATAAACTTAACTGATCTAATCATGGCCACACTTTGCAATGTTTGCACGACAACGATGTAGTTTCCCTTGCGTTTTTAAAAAGTTTCACGTATACACAACAATGTTTTCAAAACGATTCGCGTTTACACATATCCGCGAAAACTGCCAAAAATGCTGTATTACGTATGCCAGGCCGGTAGTTGGCGCTGTCACCTTGTTAGTAACCAGTACCTGTTGCTGTGTGTATGATGCGTCTCCGCTGTTGGTTGTAATATTGGTGAAGTAAATCCACACTTTGATGAAGAAGTGTTAGCAAACTCTTAAACGGCAACAACAGTACCATGTACTCCGCCATTGCTGTGTATGTTTGTTCGTGCTTGCCTTTAAAATCGACACGTACTGCGCATGTCTACATACCTAACACGTACTACGCACGCGCATGACTTCACCGTTTTCAAAGATTCCCGTTTTGGGTGTTTACACGGAAACGACAACAGTGGCAATTTCAAAAACTTGATTCAAAAATATGGTTTTCAGTTTTCCAGTCCGGTGTCGTGTAAACGAGCAAGCAAAACGCATAAAAAGTTTCCCGTATTTGGATGAAAAAGTCGTGTAAACGGCCCCTCAGTATCCATAATATTATATACTATACTCACATTTGTCAAAGGTTATAAAGTATTCAGAATTCCTCATGATTGACTTAAACCTATATAATATTATAGATTTGGCATATATCTATTTCTGCTTAGTCATGACTGATAAAGTGTTATGACGTTATTGTATAAGTCCTTACAACTTGAAGTGTCATGATGCATTATAAAACTTAATTTACCTTTATAATAATATAATATATTCATTAACGTTATAATATATATTATTATAATGTGTGTTTAAAATGCTTTATGGATACTAAGTTCATACCTGTCAACTGTGTTACTCCTGTCTACGGTGTTATGTGTGGTTTTTATGTTTTAAATCTTTTAAATGTGAACTAAACTGTCAGAAAAAAAGATGGGGATATCTCTAGAGATGGATATCTTTGGTAAGGATGGTGAATAACACTAAATTCAGCATACTGTGTATTTATGTTGAAAAAAAGTTTCATCCTTCATGAAAGCATCCCACTGTAAGCCCATTATGAAGCCCCAAATTCATATTTTCAAATCAGTTAGACAGATAACCTCAAAAACTCTGGTGAATAGACTCAAAAACTTTCAAACAAATGTGTTATCAAACATGTGGTACTTCATTCATGTTTCATTTGACATAGCATTTGTCTGTAACACAGTTGACAAAATAATGAATTAAATGTTAATTTTCATTAACATATTTAAAAAGTAATTAGAGTTTAAGATTGCCAAATAATTAATTTAGCACATTAAGGGGTTATATTATTCAACCACCTAGTTTATTTATCAAAAAAGAATACTGATTTCCTGACTTTTTGGCTGACATGAAATGTACCCCTAAATATAGAATTTACAATTTATGTATCGTCATTTTTTTTTTTTTTTTTTTTTTAAAAAAATTTTTTTTTTACAAATAAAGCTTCATATTATGAGAAGGATACTTTCTACGACCTTTATCCTGCAGTCATGGTGAGATTAGTTTCCTTCAATCTAAAAAAACAAGAATCGAAAACAACAGTGTGGAATCGATTCTTGGAATCGAATCCCATCGATTGCAGAACCAGGAATCGGAATCGGACTCGATTCCAAAAATTTCGGAATCGAACAGCCCTACATCTAACTGGCGAATCTTCAATTGGCTGGCTAAAAAGATTTGTTCAGAGGCATTTTTACAGATTACCCTGGTAGCTACAGGAGTGATTCTTTGAATTATTCACTCAACCGACTCACCGGTGAAATACACTGGCTCATCCAAGACTGAAACAAACATTAGCCTTTATATATTATTAGTTTAAAATTATTAGTAGGCTATAGTGTTAGTTTTTTGCAAATCTGCCAAGAGACTCCAGAAAGAGTGCTTAAGTACAGTATTAAGTGTTTTCCCCTGGACGTTTTTCATGCCATATCGGAATTCCCGTAATTACGAGATACAACTTGTGAACTGGGAGTTTTCTGAGAGCTACGAATTGTACCACGTGACCGCTGTACCACCTGACCACCGCAGGCTCTGTTTAGGCGTTGATAGTGTTGACATAAACCCTATTCGCACGGGATTAGTATTACCTGGTGACCTCCAGTCATTTGTAATAATTGCGGAGGTTGTCTGTGATCTTAATCCCATGCGAATCGGCCATGTCTGTAATCTGTAAAGTAAAAATTCCCCCGCAAATGACCTACCATATTTCGCCGAACACCGAGGTCCTGTTATAATATTAGTCCCGTGCGAATCGGCATCTCTGTGATTCGGCCAGCATTTGGCGGGTCGTATATCATTTTTCGAGGTTTTTGTTTCCTGTGCGCCTTTTTGTCCATCTTTCGCGAAGAATGGAGTTGCGTTGGGAATGTTTGATAGTATTTTGGGTGCTGTCATATCACTACACCATACAATTTGCAAAAAGAGAGCTGAAAAGGCTTTGAGGTTAATGTGTTACAAATAAATCAAGCATAAAGCTTGAGATATTATTTTATCCTGGTGAAATGTAAATGACACGGGGCACGAAACTATATTAGTTTCTTTCTTTTTTTTTTAATCCATCTAACCGGACCATAGAACGGGACTCTTAAAGCCCTGACATCGTATGCGGGAGACAAGTCAGTAAATTCGAGTAAAATCACAGGCTTCGCTTATCCCGTGCGAACGCAACACACGAAATTCAG